GTTTGTAAAGCGAGTCAGATTCCAGGATCTGTTCACCAATCTCAGTTGCTTTGAACTAACACTAAACAAGTCATTATCAGACTCCTATAGTCACATGTTTTTCTTCTCTCTCGTGTCTATTCATGAGTTGGATTTTCATTTTCAGGTGCTAACAAGGTAGACTTAACTGTTCAGTCAGTTGGCAAAGTAACCAAGGCTCGCCTCACACATGGTCTAGTTCACTAGTGTTAAGCCATTTACCAAGGTAGCCCGGGCACACATAGTATAGCTCACTAGAGATAAGCTGGTTGGCAAAGTTACCAAGTGCATACATATTCTAGTCCACTAATGTTAAATCGGTCACCAAGGTCTACATATATAGTATGTGGTCACATAAACTATGGTGGTCCAAAAAAAAAATGTTTTGGTGAAAGAAGGCTGTTTTGGAGGGTGTTCATTTCATTTGTTGTATTTCAGTGAATTTGTGTGGATAAATGCATGTTGCTAATGCAACCGTTTGTTTATACACTGAATCAAGATTCATATTGTTTGTTTTTTCTTCACGCTCTCCTGCCTTGTTTGAGGGTATACATGTATGTGTTATAGTCTTAGACAGCATGTCTGTGAATATACAAGCAGTAGGCATGTCTCTGTACTTGCTCTGTAATAATTATCCAATCAGCAACCTAGCAGATTTATATCTCCAAGACAAAAAATATTAATAATTCAACCTACTTGTGGCATAAGTCCCTCCCACTCAAAGGACTTCCAACCTTCCTGCAGAGTAAGTCCCTACTATCTCCCAATCTACATGCTGTGTAAAGAGGTGTCTAGGCTGAATGATATATATTTGTTGTACTTTCATGTCTGAACAAAAAAAGACAAACTCAGATTTAATGATAGTTCTGAATGGCAAGAAAACCAACAAACGAACAATTGTGTGCATTAAAGACACAAAAACAGAAGAGAACTGTTATTATGGTTTTATTATTTGATATTCAATGGCAATAATAAAATTCCATAACATTAAATTGACATTGACCTTTCATAATGAAATGTCTCCTCTTTCTTTTTGGAATTCAATTGACTGGTTGGTTCGTGAAGGACCGCATGTGGAGGAAAACCAGAAAGCCCAATCCTGGCTCCAGCTGTGTCGGAGTTGATCCCAACCGAAACTGGGAGACTGGCTTTGGTGGTGAGATGTTGCATTGAAGTTTGGGATTTTAGAAATCACATTGATTTATTTATTAAACCGACATGCATTGTTTTAATCTACAGGCCCTGGATCCAGCAGCAACCCATGCTCTCAGACCTACCATGGTCCCAGCATTCATTCTGAGCCTGAGGTGAAAGCCATTGTAGAATTTGTGAAATCTCATGGTAATCTCAAGGCCTTCTTGTCCATCCACAGCTACTCCCAGATGCTTCTCTACCCATATGGATACACACAAACCGCTGCAAAGGACCAGGCTGAACTGGTATGCATCTGAAAACAAACATACTTTATAAGATTATTTATTTAACACAATTTCACCTGAATTCTGTATTGTCCTTTCAGCATGAGCTTGCCAGAAAGGCCACCAGTGAACTGCAGTCTTTATATAACACTGCCTACACATATGGCAGCATCATTACTACCATCTGTAAGAACATTTACCATTAATATAAAGCACTCACTGTATATATCATACCAATACCATAATGATTATTAATTATGATGTTCTCATTGTTTACCATGTCTTCTCTCAGATCAAGCTGATGGAGTCACTACTGACTGGGCCTATGAACAGGGCATCAAGTACTCCTACACCTTTGAGCTGAGAGACACCGGTCGGTATGGTTTCATTCTGCCAGCCGATCAGATCCTGCCCACCGCCGAGGAGACCTGGCTCGCTCTGATGGTCATCATGGAGCACATCAAGAATAATCCTTATTAAGCATACAGCATTTTTGTGATTAGTCAAAGTGCAGGAGTAAGCCAAAATGTACCATCAGCCGGTCATTAATGCAAAAATGGGTTTACTTTTTGTATTAATGGTTGTCAGATTGTAGGTTTTACAGCTTATTACATTACTTGATGACAAATTAATAAATATGTGATATGAAATATTAAAATCTTACCTATATATTCAGCTTTCGGAGGAAAGTCATCGATTATAGTGCACATATAAGGTATATGAACTTTTTAAGGTTATTCCCTTCGTACATTATTTTATTACATTTCAAAAATTATGTAAACAGAGTCAGTTACTTAAATAACAATACACAATACTTCTAAACCAAACAAATTCAATGGCCTCTGTTACAACCCTGCTGAAAAAAATTAAGAATTTAAGCAACTGCATGTCACAGAAGTAATGACTAAAAAATAAAAAGAAGTAATGAAAAAAATAAAAACATCAAATTGACCATTAACGCCAATAGGTTATATAATGTTTATAGTGTGTTTTGAAACATATTCATGGTTACATATTTGATGGTACAATGGTGCTACTACATTAAAATAACCATGATTTTTTTTGCATTTGAGAAGAAAGACTGAAATATGCACAATTTATGACAGCAAATATTAGGGAATAACAGCTGAATACCAGGACTGAAAACAGTACAGAAACAACTTGCCTACAACTTTGCAACAGACTGCAACATTGCGGGAAAATGAGTCCAATTAGTTTATTAACTAGAGTAACGGGAGTTCTTATTTGCTTTGACAAGGGCTTACAAAATCATAGTGTGAAGTCCTGGGGTTATAGCTTTTTCAGGCCGGCTACCTAAATCTATCTACACTGTGCCCAGTGGGATATAGATAGATTTTGGTAACCCAACTAAAAAAACAAAAGCCGCAGGACATCAGGCTAGCAGATTTTGTGAGCCCTGAAAGAGGCCTATAAGATAATTTTCATAATGTGGACAGCTCGCCCCACTGAATAAAGACACTGTGCAACTACTCACAAACAACATGATGACGAATATTCATGAAAGTAATTTAAATACAACATATGTCAACAATAAAAAAATGTATCTTTATTCAGTCCATAACAAAGTAATAAACCAGGTAGCTTTCATTCTATAGATTAAATTAATTATTCATCATCAATAAGTCATGTTCTATGAAAGAACGTGAATTTAAAAGAGAAATACAGAAAACAAAAGGCCAAAGCATTCAAAGCACATTCTTTACAACTCTGTGTGTACATTATATCAGCAATAGCTCCAATAAATGCACTTTAGGTTCCTTCATCACGCTCTGCAATAAACACAGCAACATTATCTTCATTAATGCCCATAATCACAGCTACATTTCAAAACATTAAAATCTTTCCGAATGGGCTCTTGAAGCATCAGCCATTTTAACAAATGCACTAAACAAACAGACGAGCTTGTGTTTAAGGCATTGAAAAGCACATCTAAAATATTTCTAAAGAACTGCAGCATAAAAACTACCTACTGAGCAAGTAAACATACAGCAGCTAAACCAGCATGCTCAATGAACAAATCATTTCATAGCACAATCTAAAGCAAATTAGTCAATAAGTGAAGTCATTTCACTTGTTACCACTCTGGTGCTGTGTTTCAGTTTGTCCTCAATGTTTCCGGTGTTCCTCTGTTCCACACCCTCATTTGTTCCTGTGGTTTCCCCAGTTACTGTCTCTGCTCCTCTTCTTATCTTGTCAGCCATTTTGTATAAAACCAGTTAGCTTTGGTCAGTTGTTCTGTTAGCAATAAGAACGTAAAGTAAAATACCAGATGGCAGTAATGCAATGCAAAATATTCAAGCTGCCTCTAAAATCCCAATAAGAGGAAGAAGAAGAAGAAGAAGGAATTGTTCTGTTAAGACTGACTGAAGCAAAGAAACGTTTTCAAAATGGCTGACAAGATAATGAAGAGAGGAGGAGAAAGTAACTGAAAAACCATGGGAACAAACGACAGCGTGGAAAATACAAAAAAAAAGGGTGAACAAAAAAAATAACAAAACAAAACACAGCATACAGGACCAGGTTTGTAACACCACTAAGACCTGCTTAAAGAAATACTTCACTTCGTTTTGGAAATGTTCATTTCACAAGTCACATACAGTTTCAAATCCATTGAGCCAACCTATGGGTCTGGCGGTAGAACTTTTTGCTTAGCTTAGCATAGATCATTGAATCGAATTAGACCATTAGCATCTTACTCAAAAATGGCAAAATATTTAGATTTTCCTACAGCTTGAATCTTCTGTAATTTCATTGTGTAGTAAGGCTAAAAGGAAATCAAATGTTGCTGTTTTCTATAGGTTGAAATGGCTAGGAACTGTACTTTCATTTTGTCGTAATAATCAAGGAATTTTGCTGCCATACCATGGCTGCAGCAGGCGCAATGATATTACACAAGTTCCTTGATTATTATACCGGAATGAGAGTATAGTTCCTAGCCACATCTGACTAGAAAACAGCAACATTTAATTTTCTCTTAATCTTAGTACACAATGTAACTATAGAAACCTTAAATAGGAAAATCATGAAAACACTTTTCTTTTTCATTTTAGGGAGATGCTAATGGTCTAATCAGATTTGATTTGAACTATGCTAAGCTGAGCTAAAAGTGCTCCTGCCATCTGAATGGATGGATTAAAAAATTTGAAAACTGATCTGTTTAACTCCAGAGGAGTTGTAAAATGAGCATATTTTCAAAATATGTTCTTTTGATAAACTATGTAACATTTAGACGAACACTACATATGCATTAAAATTGACATCTACCATTTTTTTTTTGAGTATAAATGGTTCAACGATGCCCAAAACAGTTAACAGTGCTAACTCAGTAATGGATTTCGATTTTAAACACATAGTTTGGATTTGAAGTTTGTAGTGCAAAAATGTGTATAAAACCATTTCAGTGCCATTGTTGTGTACTTTCAGGACTAATTTATGTTTAACTTCTTCACAGAATTAAACCATGTGCATGTGGCATGATAAATGTGAACTGAAAAAAATACATGCCAGTGGTTTGTCCATCACAGATGTTCAGAGGAATCCTGCTAAAGTAAAACAGCATGGATTTATTTATGCATTGAAGTGAAGCTGTGACCAGGTGAAAGCGAGGGTTATTTCCAGGGTCGACTACTTCTTGAACGAGCACTTTCTGATCCTGCTATGGATGAACCTTGTCGACTGCTACCGACTGTAGACGCTTTGGAGCGAGCGCTGCTAGTGGACATTCTGCTGCTGAGGCGACCTAAAATTATTAAGTGTAAAATTAGATTACTTTTTTTTTTCACACTTCCATTAGGTTACATATGTTAGTGTATTTACTAACATGAACTAAGAATAAACAATACTTGCACAGCATTTATGAATCATAGTTCAACATTTACTAATGTATCACTAAAATCTAATTTTGTGTTTGGTGACATTAGTTCATGCACTGAGTTAAAAAGGACTAAAATGACTGACTTTTCATTAGATAGCAATAAAGTAATTGTTCACCCTGAAATGAAAATCATTTATTCACCCTTCACTTGTTAAAAAAACTATTTGAGCTTCTTTCTTCTGTTGAACACACTCACAGCTTCCATAGTATTTTTTTCCTGAAAAGGAGCACAATCGCCAGCAAACAGCATTCTTCAAAACATCTTTAGTGTTCAACAGAAGACAGAAACTCATAAAGGTTTGAAATGACATGAGGAAGGATAAATAAAGTCATTTTTAATTTTTTAGGTGAACTATCCTTAAAAATGTACTGTTCATAGTAAATACTGGAACCTTAACATAAAGTGTAAACAGAATAGATTTTTTATGCTGTTGGAAAAAAGAATTTCACCAAAGGTATTTTTTTAATCAAAATCAAACTGTTTAAATTTACTTAAAATGTAATTTATTTCTATAATTAAAAGGATCCAGTCTGATGACATATCTTTCAAATAAAAATATTGTCATTTAGGGAATTTTTTTTTTAAGAAAATGACCATTGAAAATCAGGATTCTACCAAATATTTCTTTCTTAACTTTTCTGAGGTTTAAACACTGGAACTGTGCAGTCCACAAAATGAACATGTCTGAAATTATTATTTTAGTATTTTATAAGTATATTTAAATATTTATTTTAAAATATTGTAATCTGTAGTTTATTAAATAAAACAAAATGACATTTTACCCAGTCATATAACTATACATCATCAATCCAAGGAAACTGAGACTTTTCAAGTGGTCTCATTTTCCATAGTTGTATTTAACATATGTACAGAATTAAATGAAACCAGTTCCTATTAAATGGATAGTTCATCCAAAAATGAAAATTTTCTTTTCATTTACTCGCATTCAAGTGGTTCCAAACTTTGATTATCTTTCTTCTGTTGATCACAAAAAAAGATTATAAAAAAATTAAAAAAAGAAAGTCTGACCACTGACATTCATAGTAGGTAAAACAAATACCTGAGAAGTCAAAGGTTTTTAGTTTCTATTATTCTACAAAATATAACTTTTTGCGTTTAACAGAAGAAATAAACTCAAACAGGTAAATTTTGGGTGAAATATCCCTTTAAATGATTCACACGGTCAGCTGTGGCTGAATTTGTATATATTGTTGCCATCTGCTGGTGAAAGGTTTCTAATACAGATCGACCATGTTTTTCACTTTGTTTTCATCAGATCTGAAAGGACTGACTCACTGCTGGTTTCACTGGGTATGAACACCTCCTCAAGGTAATGCTGGATTTTGTCAAGATCTTCTGCTGTGAACCGCCACTTTTTCTCTGCCAACTGTGATGTCTGGTGCTGTGCTGATCGCTTGCGTCCTGCAGGGCCTGTTGGTGATGGCAAACAGGAGATGGGAACTGAGCCGGTCGTCATTCCTTCTGGAAACTTCTGAGCAACCACTTTTAACCCTTGTTGAGAAAAAAAGAGCTGTTAATTTAAAAATGTGTATACAATTCTTGGTCTAGATTCACAAAAATATTCTTAGGATATTAGTCAAGAACTTTTTTTAAAGGAATAGTTGGCTTAAAATGAAAAAGTGCATCTTTACTCATGTGGATTTAAACCTTTATGAGTTTCAATCGTATGTTGACCACAAAAGACGATATTTTAAAGAATGTAGTTTGCTGGGGTTCAGATTTGTCCTTAACTTTATAATTAACACAGATTTTCATTAAAACAACTACATAATTGCTTATAGTGGTGTCAGGGACACAATTTAACCATAGAAATTGGTCGAATCTTAGATAATCTTAGAGTGGAAACAAGAATTAATAATGGGTGTCAAACTGGACTCTTGGAGGGCCGCGGCTCTGCACAGTTTTGCTCCAACCCTAATTAAACACACCTGATCCAACTAATCAAAGTGTTCAAGAATACTTTAGACTATTAAGCAGGTTGGAGATAGGTGAAGCCAAACTATGCAGAGCTGCAGCCCTCCAGGAATTAAGTTTGAGACCATTGATTAAGAACTAAGAATGAATGTAAAGCAACACCAAATTTATTACCGCTACATTTTAATTCCATCACTTTATAGTCCTGATTTTAAAGTAGCAGCCACATCCCGTTCAAGCTTTAAATTACTTGTAAGTTTTGAATTAGGAACAATCTTAGTAAAAAATCACGAGGAGATAGACACTAAGAAGAAAATAGCAGTTAAAAAAAACTTTTCCTTAACAATAATTAGTGAATCCAGCCCCTGATGCTGACAGAATGAATCCTTATTTGATAATCTGTGTATAAAAACAGTAATATTAACTCCAAAAGAAGCTTATTTTCCATTCTGTGTAAAGTAAAACACTTTTGATAAACTCACCCCCCGACAGCATGAAAAGATTCTCGAAGCCTCTTTCACACATGGTAGTGGCTGCTTGACTTGCTATCCTCTCATCCTCGTCATACACGATGATGATCTTTCCAGATGCATTTTTCTGCATAGTTGTTAAAAAAATTACCTCTAGAAATGGCTTGATTTCATAAGAACGAGAACTTTAAACATAAAAAAGTAGAAGTGTAAATCAAACGTTTCATCATGATGACACAATCTGATATTTGCATCTCTTAACTTGTGGTGTTATTACAATCATGGAATTTTTAACTTTGATTTAATAGCTTAAAAATTTTAATCAATACCACTTTTGATAACGAACAAAAAGGCAAATACAACTATGTAATTTTCATACATTCCAAAGTGAAATGAAAGTCATATTATATTGTGATGGTGTTTTACTCATTTAACTTCTACTAAATATCCCATTTTTGTTGCAGACAGTATAAACTAAAAAGTTCTTAAATTAAAACACTTTTTCAATTCAATTTCCTGAGTAATTAAATTACTTTTCTGACAAAGTAATGAGAAAAGTAATTAAAATACATTTTATTACTTAATTATTTAAGGCATAGTTCACCGAAAACTCTAAATTCTGTTTGAGTTTTTTTTTTTCTGTTGAACACAAAAGAAGTAGAAGAATGTTTGAAAACTGTAAGAGAAATTGTTATAACTTTTCTTGAAGGTCAAGTTTACATATTATTATGCCTCTGATTCTGCTCAGATTAGTTCAAATTAGCTCAAATGTGCTTTGAGAACAACAGAATGAATGTTTTGGAGTGGCCATCACAAAGCCCTTATTTCAATCCTATAGAAAATTTGTGGGCAAAGTTGAAAAAGCTGGTGCAAGCAAGACAGCCTACAAATCTGACTCAGTTACACCAAATCTGTCAGAAGGAATGGGCCAAAATTCTTTTAAACTATTGTGAGAAGCTTGTAGAAGGATACCCAAAACATTTGACCAAAGTTGTACAGTTTAAAAGCAAAGCTAAAAAAAAAAAAACAAGGACATGTATGCAAATTTTAAATGTCTAGAAATGAATAAAAAAAAAAAATTCTCTCATTATTCTGGCATTTAGCAAATGTAAATCATTTAGGTAATCCTGATGTACCTAAAATAGTAAACGTTTAGTATGATTTACCATTAGACGTTTTTTTTAAAAAGGGTTATGTTCCTTTTTTTTTTTTTTTTTTTTTACAGTGTACGTTACCTTCTGGTTTTAACTGTATCTTCTTTTGTGTTCAACAACAACAACAACAAAAAAGAAACTCATATAGATTTGGAACCACTTGAGGGTAAGTAAACAGTGAGTAATTTTCATTTAGGGATGAACTATCATTTTAAATACTTTGAAGTAACTTCCCCAAAACAGAAATCAAAGGTGTTAACAAACAAAAATATGAATGAACAATTATGCACCAGTTGCGCATTACAGGTTCTCAATAGGATTCAATGCATACATATTTACACATATCAGCAACAAAAGGATACGTAGTCAAGCACTTCTTTTGTGTACGGGTTCATCGTCCTTGATAAGGTTGCAATAGGGTAGCTATACGCTGTGAGTGAACAACAAACATAATTAATTACTTGAAATAACATTACTATTATTAATAATTCATAATCTATTTGTGCAGTTATCAGTTGGTTTCCTACCACTGACAATATGGCACTGGTCATACAGCTCTCTGTCCCGCACATCCAGCAACAGATATGGGCAGTCGGGATAGGGACACTCTGTGGTGTTGGAGGTAGAAACCGGAGACAGCCGGATGGTCTTCTGTCCGTTCTTGTCCAGATCTAATTCTCCCACGCCACTGATGACACTATGAATGAACCCAAAGATTCTCAGTTACACCCGGTGAGGACAGTCGAACTGTTATAAGCGATATCTCACAGTTCCCCCCCCAAGGGGTCTCTGAGGACGGTGTTTCATTGCACAGACTGCCCCTAAACAGACTCAATGGAGCTCGAGGCCCTGAGAAAGCAGCCCGGCCAATGAACAGCTCTTGTGTGTGTACAATAGAGGAAATGTAAGAGGGGGGATCTATTAGATGAATAAAATGAAATTCTGATTAGGTTGGTTAAATTAGGAGATAGCTTTATGCAATCGTTACAAAAGCAAAGCAGGTCCAGCTATGTACATATGTACCTTTGAAGTGTAGATCTGGGAGAAAAGCCATTGTCGCCGGATTCGTCAATGTTGATGGTCTGTGGAGGAGGAAGGTTTGGTTGTGGGGAGCCATTAGTCTGATCGGAGAGACAGTCGAGGCCCGGTGATGCAGAGAATATCGAAACATCATCTAAATCCATGCAGATAAAAAGATTATATGGTCACACTTTATTTTAATGTACAATTACCATTGTTAACAAATCATTTGCTAAGACTTTTAGCTCAGTAAACTACTAAATTGCTGTTTATTAAATGGATGGTTCACCTAAAATATTAATTTACTCACCCTCAAGTGGTTATAAACCTTGAGTTTCCTTTTTTGTTGAATATGAAAGAAGACAGTTTGAAGAAAACCAAAAACCATTGACTTCCATAGGGAAAGCAAATGCTATGGATGTCAATGATTACAGGTTTTCAGCTTTCTTCAAAATATCTTATTTAATGTTCTACTAAAGGAAAAAGAGGGTTGGAACAAGTAAAGAGAGAGTCAGTGATGACAGAATTTTCTTTTTTTGGTGATTTAACTTTAATAGTAAGGTAGAAGTTTGTGTTTAGGTATAGAATACGATTAGGGATGCATAATAAGATCATTATTTAGAAGTATGAAGAAACAGCCAATTTAAAAAAAAAAATAGGTGAGCAATAAAGCCAGTAGGTATTAGTGGGAATTGGTACTTAAACTAAAGTGTTACCGATTATATTCGCTGAAGGTGTTGCTATGTGGTTGCTAAAACAAGGAATGCACAACTATTACATTCTTTCCCAAAACATATTTAGTTTCCACAAGACAATTTGTGCAGGCAATCCTCTCTTGTAATCCTCAGAATTTTTGCTTTCATCTATTCAAGCTACTTTTGTGTTGTCTTATGAAAAGATTTATGTTCTTACAAAAACATGTTTCAGTTTGTTCTTTTATGAAACACATGCTTTCCTTAGAATTTTGTCTGCACAACATATGAATCCCCTCAGTAAAATATTTCACTTGAACAATAAACTGTGTTGAATTGTAAAACTTTTGTGCTCCCCCCAAAAAATCTTTGCACAGGCTTGCAAAACCTTCAAGTTTCCTGCATTCCCAAAAAGGAATGCCATATGTTTGCACTGCTGCTAACTATTGTGTTCACCTTTTTAACCCTATTTGGTTGGTATGGCCTTATGGATGGTTCATGGTTGCCAAGTTTAATTCTTTTAGATAAGGGTTAGTTTAAATCATTCTTCTTAAATAAAAGTACAAAAATTGTTAATGCAAACAAAAAAATTACTGTGAATAAATAAAGAACAGTAACACAAAAAAGAACTGAAACTACCTTCTAATCCCGCCATTTCATCTTTAATGTTGTCATTCTGATCTGATACCGAAGCAACTTGGATTACCTAAAAAAAAATAAGTAATAACATACACCAACATTTAAAGGTTTAAAATTAAAATTTTTATAAAAATGACCATAAAAAACATGTATATATGTAAAAATCAACACCAATTAATTCCACAAAACTATTAAGTAGCACAAATAATGCTTCAAGTCATTTTTAAGTCATTTTTTGGCTGCTTTTCTTTTAAGACCCAATGCACAGATCCAACATACTGATGCACATTTCCCTTTACAATAATGTACAATAGATAATGAATATAGAATAATTATACATTTAAAATAAAAATATTTATAAAAAGTGACTTACAAAGGCATTAACAAAAAAAACAAAACTATTCGTTACACAACAATTATTAAGCACCATAGCCATATTCAACATTTATATTAATAATAATATACTCTTCTTCTTACCAGCTGTGCAAATGTGGTCACTTTCAGTCTCTTAAACAACTCGTCCTTCCTATATCTGTAGTCTGATTTAAAAAAAACAAAAAAAAAAAAACATTATATTACATGCATTTTCAAACTATATGGAGCCTTATAGAGTCTTTAAACCAACAATTTCAATCTGTTATACCTGGATCCTGAGTGTTACCATTTCTCACTTCATCTTCATTTAAAGACACATCATTTAAATTGACTCCCAAAATATCAAACTCCATTTTCAAGCTTTTTAATGCTCTTCAACAAGCCAACGGCTACCACAAACTGAGGCAAGCTCTGCCAACATCTCTTTTTATCTTTGGCAAGAACTCCAGAGTCCAGCCTCACCACCAAAGATGCCAAGTGACACCGCTGGATGAGGTTATGTATATCACTTTCACTACAGACAATCTTAACAGAGGAATTACTGTAATCTACAGTACAGCAACCATCCTCTGCTCATGGAGCCAGAAAGAAGGAACAAGAATTGCTTATCCCTGAGAAATCAAAAGAAACCTGTAACAAGATGACCAGTGTGGACAAGGCAGCTTTTCTGTGCTTATCAAGCGAGTAAAAATCAGTAGGGTAAGTGTATTTGGAGACAAAGTAGATGGAACAAGTCATTAAATGGATTTACACAAAACGCACTTCTGTTTTTATTGTAATTGTTTTTTTTTACATGTAGACAGACATGAGATGTTTTAGATTATTGAGATGTGTTCTATATGTCGCTGTAATAAAGCATTGTGTAAAAAGCAGGCATTTGGGTACAATAAAAAGCATAGTTTTAATAAAGAAACAAATTCTCATCATATTTTGCATCCTCATCTGTTTTCGCCTAATACAAATTTGCTGATTATAAACAATATGGTTTTGGTTCATTCTTCAGGTTCACTCCAAATGAATGACAGGTAGGAATGATGAATGAAATGTAATTTTGAGAATTAAATGTTATAGGTAATGTTTTTTTTGCCGTGAACTTACTTTTTCTTGCCTCCTCTAGTCTCTCCATGTATTTTGTCAGGCTGGAGCCTATAAAATAAATTGGGTTTGCCATCACATACTCTATAGCATTTACAATGGATGTGATAAACTGTCAAAAGATGGTTTATGATTTAACAAAAAAAAGGCATTACCTGTATCAAGCCTTGTTTTTACATGCTGATATTTTGGGTTCTGAGGAATCTTCTTCTTTAAAAACTGGGAAAATAAGCATACATTTTAGTTGGAACATGTGAATATTAAAACATTTAGTTATGAAAATTTTTGCACTTTCTATCTAAACTTACACATCAAAAATATTTACTTTTATCTAACCTTGCAAAAAGATATCTATCTATCTATCTATCTATCTATCTATCTATCTATCTATCTATCTATCATGCAGGACTTGACTTTTAAATTAAGTTTGAAACTTTGAATATTAGATTTATATTTAGATTTTGTTTATTAAACTGTATGGCAAATATTTGTCATTTATTTATTTATTAACAGACAAAAAGTAGCTAAAGTAATACAGGCTTAAGTTATTTGTTTATTTTTAGTTAACCTTGATTTCAATTAACAAAAATTATTTTAGTATTGTAATTTTCACCCTGAATGAAATAATGAAAATTGAGAATATCTAAATTATATTTAAAATAATAATATAAATAAAAATAAAACTGAAATAAAGTTTATTGAAATATCAAATAGATCACACAAATCAGGAAAAGATATTCAACAACTTCATCGTGTACATATTATGAATGACATTAGAAATCCGATACGTGTTATAATCCGTTTTGTTCTTTGGAATAAATATAACTGTTAGTTAAACCCTGGAAGTATATCATTTCATGAAGAGAACATGGTGTTTATATGTAACAAACACGGAGTTCAACTCAGTCGTGTTCCTGAAAAAGACGAGGCTCTTTATGACCTGCATTCGTTTAGACGTGTATTTTATTGATAAACACAGACAGAAATACAACAGTAAAACAGCAGCACTAGAGTGATGCTGATGCTCAGTCAGGTATGTATACGTGATGGCAACGGAGGAGCAACAACACCACCGGTGTCAGATTCCCTTTAACGTTAAACACCAGCACCCATGGCAAACTTTGGCGGAGACAGCTTTCAAAATACCACAGCGCATACAATATTTAGCCAATTTCCGTAAAATTAAAGCACTGACCGCTGAATCGCCAATCCCCCTCTTCACCGACATCTTCCAGCAGCAGAGCTTCGGCGGCTAATGTTAGCTACCAAAATCAAAACTCAATGGGTCGCCTTCTTGAGCAACGGCTTCACTGATTGGGCCGTTGATTTGATTATCGAATCAGCGACTGTGTCCTTAGAGCGTCTAAGTTGAGGTCTTCGACTTTACCGTTTGGGGTGTTGCTAAGCAACGGCGTCATATCCAGCGTAGTTTAAACCTTTGGTTTCATTTGTTTAGCGACAGAGGGAGATTGGTGGTCGCGTTTATTCATTAAATGCTTTTGAATCTTTATACATTATCAGTCGTTTTTGTCTATTTCTTCTAAAGAGATATGGTACTGTCAGTTTTCTACTCTTTTAAAATCCTACTATAGAATTTCACTTTCGTTTATATTTTTATTCATTTTTTTTTCATTTAAAAAGAAATAATTGTCCCTCTAAATGCTTTGTTTCTTATTTTTTATTATATTATTTACATTTTATTGTTGTTGCTTTGACTATTGCTGTTGTCCTCTCTATTTTAATCAAAACATCTGTGTAATTTGTATGTAATGTAAATGAATATATAATGTAAGTAAGATATAATGAACATTAATCAACTCTACGGACTGCATAATCTTTAAAAGACTAACGTTAGCTTGCAAATTTCAGATTTAATCCCAACATGCCTTCTGTTTCATTATTTGAGGAGTGGTTACATTGACCGGACTGATGTCGACGTTAATTTCTCTATTTATGGTAGTATTTTGTACTTGTACAAATATATCAATCGAAATCTAAATGATTTTTTAAAATTAAATATCCTCCATTGTTGCTCAACTAGCCGGACTGGCTCTGTGATTCGAAGCGTGATTTGTTTGGTCTGAGTAAAAACGCGGTTGGTTTGACAGAAGGGAAGTGGCTCAACATGGAGGAGTTTAACTTGTTTACTTGTAAAAAGAAGCACAAATTGTCCACGTTTCATACACTTTCTTGAAGTTTACCGGAATCATGGCGTCTGTAATGGTAAGATGATTTAGTAGAAACATTTTAGAGTACGGATATAGACATTTTAGATAGAGCGCTGTACCACTGTGCTGGAAAGTTTCGTGTTTGTTTGTATGTGGACATGCATAACGATTATAGTTGTCGGGTTTACATAATTAAAATTTAATCGATACAATTAACTAGGTCTATTAGCAAAAACTGTGCAATTAACACAGATTAGACGTGATACAACGGCAGTACCATTGTGTTTTGAACATGTTTATTAATAACGTTTTTGATTATTTGTAACGGTATTACCATCAATTTCAGTTTTTTTTCATGTTTAGATGTGTGTTGTTGACATTTTTAAAATTTTTATTTGTATGTCTATATTAAAATTATTTTATTTTGACATTTATTTTAGTTTACTTAGATTTAATTCAAGTCTAATATTTTGTATTTTTTGTCAGCTGAAATAGTTTAATTTGAACCATTTTAATTTTTTTAATTAAAATGGTACTTTATTATAGCTTTGATATTTTAGCTAACTTACAAAATATTTATTTATTTATTATCATTTGCTTTTTTTTTTTTTTTTTTTGCTTACACTTATAAGTTCTCTGTCTTATTCAGGAGGATCCCACCCTTGAGAGGCATTTTAAAGGTCATAAAGATGTAATTTCCTGCGCTGACTTCAACCCCAATAATAAACAGCTTGGTATGTGACATTTATCTTCATTATTTAAAATAACTCAGAATACAAAAAATATAATTTCACTCTAGCCCCAAAATAACCTCTTACAAATAATTTTGCAGCTACTGGATCCTGTGATAAAAGCCTTATGATTTGGAACCTCGCTCCTAAAGCCCGGGCTTTCAGGTTTGTGGGTCACACAGATGTCATTACAGGCGTTAATTTTGCTCCAAGCGGTTCATTGGTGGCATCTTCATCCAGAGATCAAACAGTTCGATTGTGGACACCCAGTATGTGAGTTCAGTTGGCACTTTATCAGTATTAATGTATTATTTTGTTATCTTTAACATTTCTAACCCAAAGTATTTTAGTTTTCTCATCCTTTGGCCATCCAAAATGCATGTGACCTTTCTTTTCCGTGTAATATAAAATAAGGTTTTTAGCTACAACATGGTCTTTTATGGTGATTCATAAAATACCAGTCAGTGGCTGCTGACATTAAGAATAATAATAATATAAATATATATATATTTTTTTTTTCCAAGTGTTGTTTAACGGAGCAAGAAATTTTTCACAGTATGTCTGATAATATTTTTTCTTCTGGAGAAAGTCTTATTTGTTTTATTTCGGCTAGAATAAAAGCAGTTATTAATTTTTTAAACACTGTTTTAAGGACAAAATTTTTACCCCTTTTAAGCATTTTTTCCCCCCCCAATAGTCTACAGAACAGACCATCGTTTTACAAAAACTTGCCTAATTACCCTAATCTGCCTAGTTAACTTAATTAAGCCTTTAAATGTCACTTTAAGCTGTATAGAAGTGTCTTAAAAAGGATATAGTCAAATATTATTTACTGTCATCATGACAAGGATGAAATAAATCAGTTATTAGAGATAAGTTATTAAAACTATTATGTTTAGAAATGTGCTGAAAAAAATCTCTTCATTAAACAGAAATTGGAAATAATCATGAATATGTTTGTTATGCACAAAATGATTTTGCTTTGACAGTATAATTTTGAGGATTTTTTTTTTATCAATACGTTTGATCTGTGCAAGAAACTGAACATTATTTACAACACTATTACAAGTTAAAGCTTGGCTAGCAAGAATTAATATGTTGCTAACCTGTTTGTAGTATGGCATCTTGGTATCTTGGTATGGTATCTTGTTAGCATAAATTGCTATATTGTTTTCATGTCCCAAGCATGTTTCTGCCATTTTATAGCATTAGCATTTTTCTAACTAACTTACATTGTTAGCATGAATAAACATGCTACTAACATGATTTTGGCTTGGTTAACATGTTGTTAGCAAAAATGTTCATGTTTTTAACATAATTATCAGAATACTAACACATTTCTAGCAGGGTTAGGATAATGGTAGCATAGTTTAACATATTGCTAACATGAATAAACCATTTACCAGCGTTGATTAGCACATTACTTGCTTGTTTAGCATGATTATCATATACCTAACATTAACTTTTTACTAGCATATTTGTAGCTGCCACCATATCCTAACCTGTATAAAAGTCTGTGGGATTTTGCATAGATTTGATCATCCATTTTATAAAAACTGTACATATGTAAATTGGTTTAAAAATATATAACTATGTTGTTAAAATCACATTAGTTTGAAGGTATTTAAAGCTTGAAAGAGCTCTGGAAAAAACATGTTTAGAAATTCAGAACAAGAAGAATATGCTTAAAAAGCAGTTTAGTTCGTTAGCTTTTTCAAGTCAAGCTAAGAGATCCCCCAGCCCCCCCGTCCAATAAATTATATTAAGACCTTAATAAATCATTTACAGGTATTATTTTTATGTTCCCTGTATATGTTTCTCTTCACTCTCGAAGTCCATTGACTGAGGAAATTAAAAAGAAAATGATTTACATTTTTGGCTGAACTACTTTTTTTAATGTGTTATTTGTACATGTGCATTATAGAAAGGGTGAATCGACTGTGTTCAAAGCCCACACAGCAAGCGTTCGAAGCGTTCATTTCTCCAGAGATGGCCAAAGGCTGGTCACGGCCTCAGATGACAAGTCTGTGAAAGTATGGGGTGTTGAACGGAAAAAATTCCTCTACTCTCTCAACCGGCACACCAACTGGGTGCGCTGTGCGAGGTACGAGACTGCAGATTTAACACATCTAACCTTTCCGGTTTTGTCACATAAAGTGGGATTTCTCTCACTGTCACTTGGTCTGTCCCTGTTAGGTTTTCACCAGATGGTCGTCTCATTGCTTCCTGTGGTGACGACAGGACGGTTCGCCTCTGGGATACATCCTCACATCAGTGCATCAACATTTTCACAGACTATGGAGGGTGAGAATTAAGTGTTTCTGGTCATTTTTGGAAATTTTTAAGTATCTATATTACATTATTTCTAAATGAAATGTTAAATTTGGCTTTTTTGTCTTAATGTTTGGCTTATTTTCCAAAAAATATTATATATTTTAGCCCAAATGTAACAATACTGTCTTATTTAATTATTTGTTTACTGTCTAATATTGTCTGCTTAGGTCTGCCACATTTGTAGACTTCAACTCCAGTGGCACGTGCATTGCATCATCAGGTGCAGACAACACAATAAAAATCTGGGATATTCGTACAAACAAGTTAATACAACATTACAAAGGTACAATCTCAACTAAAATGGTTACACATTTTTGTAGTTGCATTAATTTGTAATAGACTTTAAATTTAATTAAGATTTTAACTTGTTTTTTCAGTCCATAATGCAGGAGTCAACTGCTTTTCCTTCCATCCCTCTGGAAACTATCTGATCAGTGGTTCGAGTGACAGTACAATTAAGATCTTGGACCTGCTGGAGGGGAGGCTCATCTACACTCTTCATGGCCATAAGGTGTCACTCTATTATAAATAGTGTAGAATTTGCATCCCAACTGTTTTGGATGAGGAACTCATCAAATGTATTTTCTAACTTGAACAAACTGCTAGTAATAGATTTATTACAGTATTTATTCATGTTTGTTAATGTTACTTTAAGTTAAATAACGTTAGTTCATTCATGTAAAATCGCTGTGCATTAACTAATGTTAACATGCACAACTTTGGATTTTAATAATGTATTAGTTAATGCTGAACTATGATTAATAATTGCTTTACAAAATTATGTATACTTGGTTATGGGTGGTAAATACATTACCTTAAAAGTGATTATTCTAAAGTGTTGCAGAAATATTTATTTTTAAGCTAAAAACTGCTGTTGCTTAAAAATACATATTTAAAATAAGAAGATATGAACACTCCATAAAAAGGGTAATGAAAGTGATGAACATCACAAAATTATATAAATATATTCATCACATTTTTGTTCTTTTAGTCATTTTTATTGTTTTCATTTGTAAGTGGCATTGGATAAAATC